GATAGTTTAGACAGTACAGAGATAAAAAATAATAAAATAAAGCACAAGTCACAGATTTGTGATATACAGACAATCCAACTTACAGTAGGAGTCATTCATTCCTGTTTTTGGTCTTTCATTTTAATTATTTTGTCTGTAGGAAAACTACACATTGCCAACCTCACTCTAAAGGTGAGATGTCCCTGGTGCTCGAGGGTGTACATCTTCGGTCTAACTTATTTTATATAAAACTCAAGATCATGAGTCAAATTTTTGACACCAAATCCATCATTTTGTAATCAGTACATGGCACACTGATTTTACAGCCAACACTTTGCTGTAGAAAAAGACTTTTGTTTGGAAGACCTCTGAGGTGATTTTGTGACGGTCCAAAATGATTCAGTAGGACTCAGCATTTATGGTAATAGGTTTTACCTTGTCCACGCTCGATTCGGTTTACTAATAATTACTTTTGGCCACCCAGGCCCGAGGAGACTGGTGAAGGGGAGAATGCGAATGAGCGCCCGGTGTGAAAAATGAAGAGCTAGTTTAAAAATTAGCCGCCATGAAGGAATGGATCTATGATGATGGGGGACCCACCATTTTCTGATATGAGTCAGTCACACACCACCAATTGAACTCAGATGGATAACAGGGTAGGACAGCGAGAACGTGATGGCGGTGTATTCATACAGTCTTTAATAATTTGCCTCTCAGTTCCTGCTGTCACACTGGAGGCAGCAGCAGTATGGGTGAATTGGGAGAAAAAATGCACATCATATACACACATTCAATGTTCAAGTCCTCATATAACCCAGTAGAAAAAACGACTCACAGTTTTGTTCAAAGGTTCCCCTTCTTTGTGTTTTGTTCCACACCCAAATCAATAGTTTAGATGTCCTCAGTGTGGAACAGAGGTGTTATCAGAATAAATATCCGTGTTTGGCAGTAATTTATATACAACCAAACAAAAGTCCAAGCCTTGGAGGGCTTTTATTTAAGTGCAATCATGTTTGACAAATGAGATTCAGATAGGAGTGAACATGGCACTTCAAACAAGAGCAGCGCTCCACTTGTAGTGGATATAGATGTCTGAAGAGAGATTGCTTAATACTTGAATGAAAGTGAAAGGCAAAGGGTAGAAAGCAAAATAACGAGATACAAAAAAACAGCCCATCCCCCTTGTAAAAACACCACTGTTCAAAAAAAGAACAAAAAATGTACAAGAAAGGAAAAGCGGCACAAAGAGCTCTGCCTTGGTTCAAACCATTCCTTAAAATGGGTTCAGGTCTATTTTGTCCTGGTGATGTATTATCCAGACTATTACTATTGACAAGTAAAAGCCCATGTTCGCTTATGTGAACAACTTTAAAGTTAATCTTATGTTTAATGAGCAGAGAATCCTAAAACTTATTTCAACTTTAGCAGACCAAAATAGTCGAGTAAGCCTGATAACGCTCACATTATTGGTATTGATCGCGAAGGATCGAGAGATCAAACGTTCCTTGAATGTCAAAGTCTTACAGAAAGAATTTACCTCTGAAGTGAGGTTTTTGCATTCAGAAAAATCCACAGACCGTTGTTAAGGTTTAAAAGCAAATGGCAAGTGCATGATGCAAGATAAATAAAATGTCCTTAAATAAATGAATATCGACCTAAACACATGTATCAATTAAAAGTTCTGTGTTGAACTAGAATATAGCTATGGTGGGGGTTTTTTTGTATAAGATCGAAATAAAGTAAACACATTGGAAGATTTTCAATCATGATAGCAGACAGACACTTACCTGCTGTGGGATTATCTGCTCAGATGAAGCTGCAAGATTGATGGCAAACACATGGTCCCTGCAAAAAAGTGAGTCACGACATTATTGATGTCATCTTTCTTTGCAACCCTTCATATTTTTTTTCCCCAATGCAAAGCTTTAGAAGCATCTAACTTAACCAATTCACCAAAACCTGCCCCAAAACTCTCCTTTTTTCTCTGAGTGCAATTGATTACAGCTGTGCAGCATCACAGACTGGGAGGTGGATTAACAGGCAAGGTTTATTGGCTTTTTGGCTTCAGGACATCACAGGAGTTTTCCAACTATCGACAAAACCCATATGAATCACTTTGTGAAGTGAGGAATGCATTTGTTGCACGCAGCTGTAGAAAATATTAAGCCAGTTTATGTGCATATAGGACCTCTATAACTTTTTGGACTGGGTTCTTGGCAGTGGGAGCACTTTATTTTGAAATAGAGCCAAACACTATAGCAGAACTTATTTTGCACAATGCAACTGGGCAGAGACGGTGCAACCCTGTACTGTTTAGATAATTAACCTAAAACACATCGAGTAGCAGAGCAATGTGCAAATTAGGCTGTGTAATGCACTTGAAAAAACTTCAGAGGTTCTGCCAAACTGCAAACATGAAAGCAGTCTGATGCAGAAGTGCTGCCTGAGATATAGTTCACAAAGAGCTAAAAGTTTTATTTTGGAAACATTTACCTTTTGGAAGTTTTACATTTTCACATAAATGCAAAATTGCAACAAGCAGTTTCTGTAGCCATGTTTTTTTTCTTCTCCCTAATCACGTTTTACTTTCACTTGGCCTTCTTGGAGTTCTTTATTATGCATTTAACATATAATATCTGTACTGTTGACACAGATTTCTTTTGCTGGGCTATTTTCCCGCCCTGACAATTAGTTGCAAATTTTGTCTTTCTTCATTGTGTCCTTTCAAGAGCCCATTTACCTCTTGCCCTGTTTTTGCTGCAAAACAGAAAAAAAAAAAACTAATTAGCTTTACTGGCTAAAAAAAAAAAAAAAAAAAATTAACTTTTTTGGGGAAAAAAAAAAAAAAAAAAAAAACTCCAAATGGGTAAATGTGTTGCTTATATACTCAGATAAATTATTCAGAGCTTGTTGGCTGCTTATCAAACTATTTAAGAAGTGTGTGGATAAAGGTTTAGGTTAAAGAAACATGATTATAATTACTCACAAAAATATTTATTATACTGAAGCCTTTGTGCAACCATGCACATGTTAACATAGTATCAGACTTATAGACGGATGCTAATGAATATAAATGTGTAAGGTCATCATTCATCATTATTAACTATCCCTTTATAAATGTACAGATTTTACAGTAGGTTGGTAAAAAACATGTATGAAAATATCCCTAGTCCTTATAGTCCTAATATTTGTATGTTTAAACATGAAGTAATGGTCAACGTTTTACATGAGATGTTTTGAGTCATATTTTCAACTTCAGTAAACAATGTAAACATTGTTATATTACATCTTTTGTTATGTTGAATTAGCAGGTGAGTGATGGTGACTGACCGTGCAGCGATATAGAGCATGTGGTTGATCCTTAGCATCCGCTGGAAATCCAGACCCAGGCGGACAGTGTCATTGTCTGACATGAGTCCCTGGAAGCTGGGGTAGAGGTACGAGGCTGCACGGGCAAAAAGATGGAGAAGAAGAAATTATTCGAGTATAAGACAGTCATATGCATCCCCCCCTCCAAAAAAAAAAAAAAACACAACAAAAAACCCAACTGGAAAGGAATGTCAGAACTTTACTGTGACAGTTCATCGTGGAATCAAAATTTTAAAACTAAAATTAGGAATAAAGGAAAGGGATTTCCAGTCTTTGTCAAATGTCAGTGGCGTTTTTTTCCCTTTGAGAAAAGAGGGGAAAAAAAGCAATTTTTCAGTTTCACATTTATGGAGGCAGTTTGACAACGACAGCTAAAAATTTCATGCACAGTAGTATTAGCAATTTAAGAAACACTAACCCAAGGTTACAATTTAGTCGTCTTTTTGAAAACCCTGAGCTCACACTGTATGCAAATGCACACTTGTGGAGGTGGATCAGGGAGAAAAATAGCATCCTAAGCTGCAAATTAGGCAGTCGTGTCATAGAAGTCAATCTGATTTAAATAACTGGCTCCTCGTAAGCATTTCTGAGCAGACATGTCTGGGGACTGTGCCAAGTGAGAACAAAGAAACAAATCAAAAACATCTGAATAGACATTCTAATTGTCACATTTAAATCAGTCTCACCTGTTTCAAAGGTCACGAAAGTTTAGCTTAAGCCGTTTTCATGCATGCACTGCACCCATGAACTTTTCTAGGACTTATCAGGGAGAGTGCACGCGAAAATGCAAATGTTGGACATTAAATACTCTTGTGAGGTCCTTATTGCAAGGTCTGTCTGATGCAGGATTGTGCTGAATGTGCAAGTAGGCCAACTAGTGGGCGACACGTGTTCCATCTCCTGCATGCATCCCTGTCACAGAAACGACAGGATGTACTCACTCCAACGCAAACCATTTACTGCTGCATGACACGTGTGAGAAAGGAAAATATCCCAACGCGATTCTCCCGAAACCTCCGAAAGTTCATGTGTGAACATGTCTTTAGTGTTATCATCAATGCCATTAAATACCTTCACCTGGTAAAGTGCCTCTATAACAAATGACACCAACAGGAAAATCATTAAACAAAAAACAAACATAAAATGTTAAATAAGATGAACTGAGGGAAGTCGTGCAAAGAAACAGGGATATAATATAAACTTTATGGTGCACTATGGCTGATTTTCAGCTTCCCCTTCTTCCTCTTCCGCATGTTAATTTCATTTTCTTTCCCTTACTCAAAGTGCAGACGAACTCACTAGAGGGCAATATTATTTTAAACAATGGGAGATTGTGTCCAGTACTTTAAATAACAAAATAACAGTCAGCCAGTGGATGGATATGCCTTTCAAAAACTTGATTAAAAAAAGATCCTTCAGGCAAAAATGGAATAAGCCTGGCTCAATACTGACACCACGCTGTCTTCCATATCACAGATACTTCCCCTGCTGTCTTCTTTTTTTTTTAACTAAGCAAAGATTCAGCTGAAGGCCAGAGCATTGTCTGTAAAGTACTGTATTAAGTGCCCTCAAGCTTCCCATCTGACCTGGGCTGCTGCTGAATTAGCAATCCCCCCTAGAAATACACCACAATCTGAAATTAGTCTCTCTACAGGGAGCCGTACACGCTCCTTTAACCACTCGTCTCAAATCGACTGTTTAAAGATTTAAATGCCTAATGTCTGGCTGAGTGCTGGACCTTGCTGTGCTGTCTGGTGAAGAGACTCCCAGTGGCTCAGCAGCCCGCCCTGCCATCCTCCCCCTTGGCAAATGAGGATTTCTAATTACTCTTTAGCACTTTCACACCCTGTTCAGCTTGGCTAGGTCACTGCTAGCAGAAAACCCCCAGGATAATGACTCGAGGCATTTAGGATCACTACAACGAGAAGAACGTACAACTCATAAGACGAAGTACTCAAAGAACTACACCAGAATCCTACATTGAAGCTCCAGCAACACTTGTAGTATTAAGAACAATGTTATTTCTTGACCATCTTGATGGTTAGCTTTTAGTCTTCATGGACAACGGGAGTAGGTAAAGTTGATATGCTGTAAAGCCGATTTTGTATTGAGAGGTTTTCCCCAAACTGCACTTCAAAGATTGCATTTTAAAGAACAAATGAAAGAAAGGGAAACAGTCTGTCAAGGACACGCGTTAAGTTATGACATGTTATCCATAACTGCTAGGACTTAGTTCAATATTTAAAAGCTATTGCTACTGCATAGTAATGATAACTTTTAAAAGGAACCTTTTATGCCCTTTTTTCAACTGCAGGGTTTTATTCTTGAACTCTGTTGGAATTGATTTGCATGAGAAACTGTTCAAAATAATTCTTATTTATCATATGCAGAACCTTGGAGCAGCACCTCATTCACTGACTGAAACAAGAGATTTCAGGTTACCCTTAACAACGTCCCTCTTAAGGACAGTATCTCTTGATTGGCTGCCTCTAACATACAAAGGAAAAGGTTGTGTGTGTAAGATGCTAAGATTAAAGAAAGTTCCTCTTTCAGACATCATACAGAACCAAGAATAGCAAAAAAGCTGCCTGAAACCAATCATGAAAATAGGTAGTGTAGTGTATGCATCCTAAACAAGACTAGACATTTTATTAATAGCCTCATGTTCTGTATAACCTGTATCAGCTGCACTGGCTGTGGAAAACCTAAATATGCCCAACTTAAACAGCATGGTGTCAGGCAAAAACAAAAGTGTAAGAAAAATTATTTGTCCGCTTTCTAAAAGAAGGAGTCACTTAGGTATGATTTCATAGACTTCATCCTGACGAAGTACTATGATTCATAATGGATGTCTCAGAGTTGCGAGGGACCTTGCGCCATGCTGTCACCTGCTGGAACTAGAAGTGACAAATTGCTCTCATTACACCTGGGACGGAGCTCCACATATAGCACTATTAGCACAGCTATTTCTGCTAATGGTAGCGTTACTCTCTTCCAGATAGATCAATTACAGTGTGTGGGCCATGGTCTCAGCCACCTCTTAAATCAATTATGGGCCATTACATTTAGCAGCCAAGACCTCTTCTGTAGACCTTCCCAGTTATTGGGTGCCACAGATGGGTCCCTAAGGTGGTCCAACAGAGCAGTGTCTTGAGTCTGTTAGAAGTCTTCAAGAGTCTCTTAAATCAAAAACTTGCTGGTTTCCAGCTGTAGCTCTGAAGTTTTAATGTCTTGTGCTGTGGTAACATGTGGAGCCGGGGTAATAATTCATTATTAGCTTCTATCGACTGCCATTGGAATATGGCTGAGACAGTTGTGCTATGAAAATCTTTTGTTCATATGAAAGATTACAGGAAAAAAAGCATTATTATGTGTTTGAATTAATTAAATTATGGTATTATTAGGGACTGAAGAGCATGGACAATTCAGACATTAATTAAGTCAGGTGATATTAACTAAAAGAGAAAAAAAAAAACCTAAAAAAAAAAAATCCATATTGTAGTCACTGTCTCCTCGGTAGGGACAAGTATTGATTATCAGTGGTGATCCAACTGTTTATCAGGAAAAAAAGCTCATTATGAAAATTAAAATGAAGAATGTTTATGATGTCAGTAAACTAACCAGCTGTCACCTTCATTATAACAGCAGTATGTATGTGTTGTGCATGCATACAGATGGGGTTTTGTTTTGCTTTGCAAAAAATACTGAAAAATTGCTCTTTTTGTAGTACAAGTTTGCCAAACTCTGATCTAAACCAAGGGAGGAAAGAAATATTTGCTGTTTATTTCTTGTCAGTGCTGTTCTTGCACACCAGTCAGTAGTAGTACACATGAAAGCCCCACAGAGTGACAGCTGAGTCATTTTTCCTGCAACTGTTCATAGTCAGTGCTAAATGAAGCTACTGTGAGAAATTTGGCTGCTGACTTTTACACCAAGCTAAATAAATCAAAGAAGAAGAATTTTTACATGAGAGCATTGTGGAAATGTTCTTTTTATGATATACTGCAGACATTATTTACACACTCCAGTTGTATGCCACATACAATAAATGTTTTATTATTCAAAACAATGTTTAGCCTGTTGGACAGTCTAAATAACCCAGCTGTATCCTAATGTGAATCAGATACATGGGCAATAAAAATAAAAAACAGCGCTACACACTTTACATCAAAATTATTCTACAAATTTGCTAAAAGTTTGCACCTCCGCTCTGACTGAGACCTTTTTTAATCATGCATACTAAAACTGAAGTGACCTTATTCAACACCGAGTCAGCGCAGAGCTCAACAAATAAATTTAATTATAGCTGTTCCAGCAGCAGAATAAACATCTACAGATTTGCTTGCTGCAAACATAGCCTTAAACACATCCACCTCACTAAGCTATATCCCCCAGTGACGAGATATGCCTTAGTGACCCTCGCTCTAGATTTACATGTACTCCTGCAACAGAGATCACCATGGCAACAACAGATTTTGAACTTACTTTCTCTGCCCACGACGCTGATTGGTTCCAGGTCTTGGGGGAACGGCGTGGCTCCTGAGGACAGCTGAGCTAAGAAGGCGACAAAGGTAAGAGCCAGGAAGGCTGGCAGGATGGGTCGAGGCAAGACGACCATCAGCCTCATTTTGGCAGAGGAAGAGACCTCACCAGTAACACATGGCCCACAGCAGATTCACCTAACCAACCTATAAAAGAAAAGGCACAGAGTTGGTGCATTGTTGTTATCAATATGACATCCGAGACACCTCAGTGTAACAAAATTAAGACAGTCAAACACTGTAACATGGACTTCTAATATAGTAGCACGCATTGGATATAGATGCATTTTATAGAGATTCTAAATTAAAAGGCAACAATTACATAACTGAAGAATGACTAGAGTAATGTTTAAAGGTGGCATCTTAGTTCCTATTAGCATGCAATGCCTCATGCCAATGCAGTGATGTGATTGAATGTCCGCCCAACCACTGATTTGTAAGAGTGCAAATGCATTAAAAAAAGGCAGATGGAGTCAGAGCAAACCAGACGTGTGAGGGAAGCAACCAGGAGAGAAGGCAGGCTGCAGGACCCTGACCAGAAGGACACTTAAACATTCACTGCCCAACCGTGTCTTAAACACAATAAACACTCCTTGCTCCGCCTGATATGGCGAGATGTCCTTGCAATTGTTTAATTTAGTAAAAAGGTAAAAGGTCACTCCTGTGCATATTTAAATATCACCTCTAAAAGGTGGCTCTCACACATGAGCTTTGTGCAAAAACAGCTCCTTCAACTGCAACAGTCACCAATGGTTAAGAAATATGAGGAGGCTTTAAAGACTTTCCATAATCTCATGAGCCACCAAAGAGAGCCTGAAACTGATGAAATGTAATGAGGATGAGCAGGGTGAACATCTCTCACATACAACTATATGCTTTTACAGGAGGAACTAAAGGTGGAGACCATCAAATAAAAAAACAAAACAAACAAACAAAAAAGATGAAAACAGTGAAGCAGCAAGAACGTTCAACATTTCTGTTTGCACCAGTGAGAGAGTGGCAGCAGGATTATGTGCTTTATATGGAGAATCAATTGTGAGTTATAGGTCAGGACCATAAATGTTTAGAATTGCCACACCTGTCTGTCTGGTTAAAAGGCCCAAGCTAATACCTGGATAATTTGTGACAGGGCTGTACATTTAAAGGCAATGGTGACCGAGACTTGTGATATTAGATCAAAAGAAACATTCACATGGATTTCTATTATGGTAAAGAGTAGATATGTCTGCCGCCACAGAGTTGAAAGTGTAAGGAAACTCACTTGTGGGAATTTATGCAACAACACAATAGGCTAATATGTTTCCAGATTCTGCTACAAAGAAGATGATTGGCTTTTTGGAAGCGACAGCTATCTTTGGTATTTTTGAATTCTCCCATAACTTTCTATTTCTTTGTGATTCTTGGTGTCCACGCTGCGCCCACCCACCACGCAGGGTGGTGGCAATACCCAGTCAGCCTTTTAGGACTCTGGGTAGAAAGGTTTAACAATTCAGAAGTTGGAAAATAAATACAAATATAACTTAAGAATGGATATGTTAAGCTACAATGACAAAATATTTCATTATGCAGACTGCAATGTATTGGTAAAGTTAAAAAAATGAATAGTAATGGGCAAAAAAATGAAATTGAGAATGAATGTGAGAAAAGTCACAAACCCAAGCTGGAGAGCCTCAAAGATTTATTAAGTAATTTTCACAGATGAAAATGCACTCTCTAATCAATCACATAACGGGACCTTGTCTGCATCAGGCATCTTTTCAATACTGGCAAACACTGTTGGGCTTAGGTGTGGGTTAGTGTCCGAGAAAGGCAGGAAAATTTCCTGGGCCATTATCACAAAGGCTCAAATGGCTCAAAAGGTTCACTGCTTAAAAGCAGCTTTTAAACAGATATCAGAAAATGTTAACATGACCTGCAAGCAGATCTGCACTGAAGCACACAGAGTAAGGAAACAGATGCATGTGCCAGGTTGTACCACTCAAATGCTTAATACTTAAATAGTACAAATACTTGCTGCATTTATCAACCTGAACACCTGGTGCTAAAAACATTCAAATGTACAGACAGCACGTCCTTTGGAAAAAAATTGGGTGGTAAACAAAGTGATTCATTTGTTGTTGTGCGTTTGTTAGCATGAGAGAAGAACTTGTCTTGCATAATTAAAGGAACAACTCCGTAGCCGAACAAAGGGTGCTGCCATCGAAATCAAGATTTCAAAACTGAAAAGTCAAAGAAAGATGTAATAACACCACAAGCAGTATCTGTCAATGATCTCAAAAAACAAAACAAACAAAAACCATCAATGACAGCTAATCAAGTAAAGATGTTGCAACCTCATCCACCTCCAAGAATTCAAATCACAGATTATCATTCTCAATAAAGTGTTTGACAAAGGAGCTCTGAGAATATTTCCTCTTTAAAAAAAAAAAAAAAAAAAAAGCATAAAAGTTGGACTCGGGTGTCTGTGTGGGAATAATTAACAGCTCCAGACATTGTACACAAGGCTGAGATTATGCATGAATGTTAATTTCCACATCTGTTTGATATTTGAGGAAAGAGACAGTAACAGATGGATGGAAGAGGGATTTGTCGAAACCAACTTCAAACTGTGATGACCTGCACTCCTTGCCAATTTATTGAGGGCAATGTGTCCTCTACAGGGGTTCTTACAAGCCCTCCCAAGTTTATGCACTGTGTCGCTTGGCAGTGAGACTTGGGCCACATGGTTTTAAGTGGGAGCAGAAAATTAAGTCAACAGAGACGTGAACTGTCATCAATATTGATAATAGTGTGCCTCATTTAAATGCAGGCAGAAAGCTGCATTTAGCAATGAGGTCAAGCGATGATCACAACACCATAAATCGACGCGAGTAGGCGAGTGTCTGTTTGTGTTTACTCTGTGAATTACAGCAGCTTGTGTGGCCTGCCTTAGTAAGTATATGAGAGCGATATACCTGATGAATTAGCCTCATATGGTATAATTTGGCTGCTTTGTTTTTTTTCTCCCAGCCAGCGAAGCAGCTATTTAAACAGATGATGTTATTATGAAGACAAATAAGTGAGAAACGTCGCTTAAAACGTCAAAAACATTCACGGCAGAAAAAGGCTAAACAAACTTTTGTCATTTATAGCGTTAAATTACCAATAAAACAGCCGAATGTCAAAATGTATCCACTTTCATCATGAATACGCAGAGCCGCACATAAACCTAAGCAGCGTGTCCGGGGAACACTATATTCTTGTGAAAAAGAAAGGCAGAGATCATTTATTGACAACCTACTTAGCTAAAGGAAGGCAACCAACAGAGTGTGAAAACAAGACAACCATACTGAGTACAAGAGCTTATGCAAGACAAGTAATATACCCCACATGGTTTGTGCATACAGTATTAGCTTGCAGTTAAGGTTGAGTTTCAGACTGTTGAGGACTTCATTATCCTGAACTGGTGCTGCAGACATTTTTCAAACTTTACTGCTAGAAGCTGTGTGACAAAAATAAATACTTGCAAATCTAGACAGAAGGGATTTGTCTTTATACTCATCGAGTGTATTGGATATGTCGCCCACCCCTGGTTGAGCATATGTGAAAAGTAGAGCTCCTGGTTAGATTCCACCCACTATTTCCTGCATCATTCCCCTTGTTCTTTGCTGTCTGCTCTCTACTGCCCTACCAAATAAAGGCTAAAAACTACCCCCCACCAAAAAAAAGAAAATCTGATTTTTACCTTCAGATTTCAAGTGTGAAATACTGGCGAGCTCAAATCATACGAAAATATACTCCACAAGCTGCTGAACTTTTAAGTTAAATGCTGGCAAATGAGGCTCCCCAAAGAAGCTCACATCAATGAATCAATGTTGCACAAAAAAACATTTCAGTTCTGCACTTGAAAAAGATTAAATACTCATTTCTGTGCCGTGTACACTGTGCAGTGCATATCAAACATTTCACCTGATTATAAATTTGTTCTCTGGGTGTGATTTATTGTATGTGAATCAGGCACTGAATGCAGCATCATTGATTATTTTAGAGACACTGCTTACCTGAAACTATGAAATCAAACATCACAGTATATTATATTTATAGGAAATTTCTGGATGGAAGATATTGAAACAAGTTTCATTTTGGGATTTGTACCTAAAGTCGGCTTTACTAAAATTGTTCTCCTAGAATAAACAGTCTTTGGTGCTCCATCAGATGATTTCCTGCAGATAGACATTACGTACTGAAGGTCCAAGCTCTTGCCTTTAGTTCTGTTCCATCGCTGACATTGTTCTGGTTGTACAGCTTAAAGTAGACTTATTATTTCCCCGTTTTCTCTCAAACAGACGCTGTTTCAATAGTGGATTCTTATATTAAATATGGCCCAAGTTCCAAATAATGAGGTTAGTATATTACAAATAACTCCTTTGTGCCAAAAGCACAGTCTTCAGTCTGCCCTAAAAGCTCCGTTTTCAACAGTTTTTAATGCCATTAGGTCTGTGTAACATCAAAAACAGGTGATATTGTTAATATGGTCCTCACAGCCACAGCTGTGAGCACAACCGCTAAACAGTTAAAACCTTCTGTTTACACGAGGCAGCTAATCAAAAGAAAGCTGGCTTAAAGGGAAAGCTAAAGCAGCTTGTTTCAGACAGGATGAACTGAACAGCTGCACCAGGGCTGGTTATAGATAGATGCATATTTCCTTTCCAACTGGAAATCAAATCAAGCTACCCCGCTAAAGTCAAAGAAACATAAAGATATAGAACTGGAAACGAGCATAAACTATACTTTTGAATCTGTTACACTAGCAGACAAAGCAAAGCACACTGAAAAATGTGTCTACAAATCAACTACCCTCTGGAACTTTGAGCTCTCTTAATTTAACCCAACACAAAGTCTAATCAGTTAATGACTTTCTGTGCAGTCTAAGGAGAGATGGATTGCTGGTGAGCTGACAGCTGTCCGAAGGATATAGGCCAGTGCTGATCCTATTCCATGTTCACTCTCTGTGTTCTAGGGTTTGATGGGAGGGCTTGGATCATTTTCTTTTTAATGAACTGGACGTGTTAAGCAATCTGTGAGAGACTGGCAGTTGGGCCTCTTTGGAGGGGTAAGTGTTTCTGGGATGTTGTGGCACACCATTGATAATCTGACATTCATTTGGA